GAAATGGGGTTGGCTGGACCCTTAGCGGCCTGGTGTGGCCTCTACCAGCCTCTTGGACTTTTTAGCCTTTTTATCTTTGTAAGTTTGGTTTTTATGACTTTTAATTATGTATGTTTGATTTTAGTTTGTTGTTAGCCGCCCAGAGTCCCCCATTGTTGGGAGATGGGCGGGGACAAGCCTATTAAATAAATAAATAAATAAATAAATAAATAAAATATATAGTACAGATAAATTAAATGATCAAGCAATATTAAATCAATTATTTTTACAATTCTTCACTGATATTCCATTTTCCCTTTCTTAATTGTAAATTTGGACTAAACCAAAGATTCTGGTTCTAATCTCAGAACATCTGACAACCAGCAGTTACTATCTGCAATTAGGAGGTTGTGCCCTGGGCATTTCAGTTCGTTTCAGTGAGATATTAGATAATGTTGTGAAAAATAGAAGTGATTGCTTTCACCCACAATAAGCAGGATATCAGTGAAGCAAAGGGAATTATGGTACTAGTTAAGATGGCATGAAATAATCCAGAGACTAGTTTTGTGTGATCCAGGAAGATTCCAAGGGAAAGGTGGATGGCTTGAAAAGACGTAAGTATCCTAGTGAATCTTTCCAAAAACTGTAGATTAATGCTTTATTTTAAAAAATGAAATAGCAATGCCTGTACTGCATATGTATGAAAGTATCTAGGCTTTCAAGAAGATGATAGGGAGAAGTCTTTTAAATATTATGCAGTATTTGAATGGAAGGAAAGTCTCTTTGTAAGTGCAAGTATATATTGAAAGGATCAGCTAACCTGCATTCCTTATGTATATTACTGTTTGGGACAAAAGATACCCTTGATGAGCTATATTGCAAATGAGACAGTTTTGATTCGCTTACTGACTTTTTCAGCATGGAATTTTGCAAAAACAGCACATAGATTTGCATATAGGTGAATGTATGCAGCATCAGCTATTTTCTCAGGGTGAAAATGCTTCAGTGGACAGACAGCGATGCATATTTTGGAGGCTCAGTTATTTCCCAATTTAGCAGATTCTTCACTGCTGTCAATAAATACAATTTTTTCAAGTAATAACAGTAACTTTGGAAGTATTTTTGAAAGGAATCTTTGGCATTCTGTTTTGTCATGAGTAGCAGCAGACTACAAAATGTTGGTTTGGCTTAATAGCCAACTATTATTTTCAGCCATCACCAATCTTTTTTCCCAAATCTGGCATGGATGAAAGGCAAGGCCTAATTTTAGTTTGTGTAGCTTTAAGGAAAAGTGAAATAATGCAGGGAGAACCTCCTGCTGCTTGAAAGTTAATTTAGCAGTGGAAATGAAGTTTCTACAATAGGAACTGTGACACAGAGGTTGTCCTGTTTGCTAGATGATTAACAGGATACTGTGGTGTGTCAGGAGCTTCATTTAAGGGCAAGAGAGGCTTTCCCTCAGTGCTTCAACCATGCATACCAGAAGCTCTCTTAACCTAGGTACTTTCAAATATGTTGGGACTTCTATTCCAATTATTCCCAGTTGGAATAATCAAACAGAAAGTGTGCCTTACTTTCCCTGAACAACTGGAAGCTTATGATTACAGTATGAATAGTTACAAACAGGCCGCATGCTTGTTCATTTTGAAGCCATAATTTCCCTTTACGTTTTTAACTTTTTAAAACTTTTTTTTAGTTTTTTTTTTAATCCCACCTTTATTATTTTTAGAAATAACTCAAGGCAAACATACTCCTTCCTTCTCCTATTTTCCCCACAACAACCACCCTGTGAAGTGAGTTGAGCTGAGAGAGAGGGACTGGCCCAAAGTCACCCAGCTGGTTTTCATGCCTAAGGCGGGACTAGAACTCAGTCTCCTGCTTTCTAGCCTGGGGCCTTAACAACCACAGCTTAACAAAGTTGTGCTGCCCCTGCCACTCTTGTTGAGGTGAAGATAATTGGAACACTGAAAACTTGCCTTCTATAAATTTCCTTTCTTCATGTATCCTAAAATGTCACCCACTATTGTCTTTGTGTATTTTTGCAGTTTCATACTTACCGGCAGGTTCTTTGAATAAATAGCCCTTCAGAGTTATTCTCCTGAAGTCTGAAGTGGTGGTACTACGTTGTGAGTTTTTATCAATAGAGGTTTCTTGATATTGTCTGTGAATCTGCCTATTCATTGGAATATAGGACCCACAAATTTAATAGCAGCAACAGTCTTGAAATACTTTTTTTTTTTTGCATTCGCTTGTTTCAGTGCACAGAAATGTTTGATTGAAAAACAAAATTAAAAAAAAAAATCTTGTTTGTATTAGAAGTAAGTGATGTTAAGTTTTTCTCTTTGGAAAGGGTTTTATAAATATACTTGTTTTCTTCAGATCATAACTGAGAGGAAGCACCTTCAGGATTACTGTTTAAGGCTGTCACTGACCTTGCATGCTGTCCTCTGCCTCCGCTTTCCATTGTGAAACTTACAAGCAGTATCTGTGAGAGAGCAGCTGGTACTCTAAAGGCAATTTATCATGTAGCTGAGACTAGAAATATCATTGCTGTTCCTTGATTGAGATGATAAGTAATTCTCCATGTACATCTGCAATTCCACAGCTGCTTCCTTCTTATTGGAATCTTGCTTTCTCAGTCAGTTTAATGGATTTCCTTTCTTTCTGCACCCGTGGTCTTGTTTGGTTGAACATTTTACAGTTGCTGGTCTCACTTTCTGCTCTTTTCTCTTCCTTGGGTTTATGGAATATAAGTTTGTCCAAATGTTAATGAATTTACTGTCTTGTGTACCAGTTAAACTTATTTCCAGGTTTTTATCATTTCCTTTCCCAAGTCATTAAACCATGCATGTTCATTCAGTCTGAAATATTCATTTGTATAAAGAAAGAGAGAACCAGGATCTTCTCTTCTCTTCTCTTCTCTTCTCTTCTCTTCTCTTCTCTTCTCTTCTCTTCTCTTCTCTTTTCTTCTCTTCTCTTCTCATTGCTTTGATGGCAATCAGTTGCCTTAGCAGTCTCTCTCAAGATTTGGAGTTGTACCCAGGAGTGCCCTACCATGATCCAGAATGAGAAAGCTCCTGGAATAATTGATACCGGAAGGCATTAGGTGCAGCACACTAGTTTTTCTCATGCTGGAGGGTAGAATTGTTATGACACACAGACGGTCTAACTTCCTCAAACTGACCTGTTGCCTTCAGGTATGCTGGAAAATGCCAGCTTATTATATAATCTGCTTAGCGTACTTACAGAGCCCATCAGCTATGTAGCTGTGACCTCACCATGAACATAATATCTGAATGTGCATTAACTTTTGTTAGTTTCCCTTTCACAAGCGCACTGACATTTGTATGCTGCTGAAGTTACAGTTGAAGTCACATGCTACTTAACTCAAAATAATTTTAAAATAAATCATGTTGAAATTGATTTAATTTAAAAGAGAGCACAACAAAGATAGCCATGAGGCTTCCAAGACTGACTATCCTCTCTGTGGATACTACACTACCTTGTCTGTAGTTTTATAATTGGCTTCACCCAAAATGGCGATATATTCTAGGTGCAGAATACAATCCTATCCATCTGCTCCTTTTGCTGTCTATATGTTGATTATTGATAGGTAGCCTTCAGCTCTATGTCTAAAGGCCTGGCTATCAGAAACTACACTTGTCTGAAGAGCTATCCAATCTAAGTTCAGATTAATGACAGTTTAAGACAAGAGTGCAGATGGCTTCAAGTTGCCCATCACTAGACAGCATACTGGGCAGGCTTAATGACTTAAACAGGTGGGATGATTTGGAAGTAAGTAGTCCCTAAACCATCTTGGGCCTAAAACCATGTAGGACTTTATAGTTAATTGTCACTTTGAATAGTTCTGGAAGTAAACAAAAATCTTCCATATTTAATATTAAATATTAAAACTATACCATAAATATTTAAGTAGTGTTGGGAAGAAGAATGGAAGGGGAGAAAAGTGTCATCAGAATTCCCCTTCACAATGTTTTGCTTATGTTCTATTTTTCATTTTGTCTTTTTTATCTTTATTCTTTATCCTTTTTGTGCTCTTTAAGCTCATGCAATATAATTTTAAAAATCTACTTTGTGGACTATAAATTGTTTTCTTGGTAAATTCTTTTTTCCCCTGTTAAACAAACCGTCCTTTTTAATAAAAATAAATAAATAAAAGGAGGCTGTTACTTGTATCCACAAATCCAGGGATGTGATATTTCTGCTTGTAACATTGCAAATTTAAGGGGAAAAAAAGAAGTTAATTAACTGATTGCTTTTGCTTATAGTGTATAAATAGCACACTGTTGAATATCAAACATGTGGCTTTTTTCCTTACTTAAAAAATATGATTGATTAGAATTTAATATCTTTTCCAGTAATTGCAAGTTTTCGAGGAACAGTCCCTCATGGCTTATCGCTGGAGATTGGAGACACTGTTCAAATACTAGAAAAATGTGATGGTAAGTGTTGAAAAAAAGCAAGCAATTGTCACTTGATAAGAGACTTCACCTAATTATGCTAAAGGGAAATACAAATGTTTGCTAAACATTAAAGCCTATTTAATAATAATAATAATAATAATAATAATAATAATAGCCAAATTTAATTTTCTATAAGCAAAAGGCTATTGAAATCAGAGATGCTTGTATCACAGTAAAATGTATCTAGTCCAAAATAACTCTAATTAATCTAGCCAGTTGGTTGCTGTAAAAAGGCATCTCTGATTACAAGGAAATTATTTTTGTGTATATGGTAACATATTTTTAGTTTTAGCAGTAACTATACAGTACATTAAGGCTTGATTGGTGTATACATGACTGCTTACTTCTTCACAATGAGCTGTTAATCTCTTTCCTCCAGAAGATTAGATTATGTGTATTGAATGAAGTATCAGTATAGTTCATAAGATTGTGTTAGATTGGGAGTTACTACATGGGGGTACATGCATTTGTATGTTGTAATGAGATATGGGGCAGAAAATAGAGGGCTGTAGAAATACCATAGTACTCTGGAGTTCTTTTATAGGCTTTTGCTAAATCTTTGTCACATGTATGCAGTGACAGCTAGGAGCAGCTTTTGAAGCAGAGATGCAGCTTTTACAAGCAACACAGTTGCTTTAATAGTTTGAAAAGTCTTCTGCAGCCTCTTTGATTCAGTGTTTAACAGTTATGGAAGGAAAATAGACATGCATACTTATATTTAGTGGCTAGGACTAAGGAAATCCAGATTAAAAAACTGTCCTAGTTAACCTTCAGGGAATCATTTACACTCAGTTTAATATGCCTCTCAGTTGAGGATTAAATAATCAGGGTAATATCAATGTAAATGTAGCTTGGGAAAAAAGCAAGATATAAATTCTATATATTAAAATATATTTTCAAATGCTTACTTTTATATCATTTTACACTGGTCAGGGTCATATAGACATGACAACTATAATGCAGTTGGTAAACCACAGCTGTATGTAGTTTGATGTGTTGGCTTCTGTATTTCATTTTTGTTGATTGTTTGTTTAATGTGCTATATTGTTTGGGGGATTATTTGATGTATGCTGCTTGGAGTTGTGGTTATGCAGGATGGGCAACTATATACATCTACTAAATAAATTGATAAATAATTAAATACCAGCGCTGAAAGTGCATTTTGGGGGGTTATTGTTGTCTAAGTGCCAACATGTGGTGGTTGAAAATATACAGTAGGAAGGAAACATTATTCTTTATGCAGAAATGCTATTGAAGATATCTTGTCTGTAACTGATGGTACAGTAGTTTTTGTTATTTGTATGGAAGATACATACAATTTTTTAAATTTATTTTTTACTGCTTTTAAAGTAATAACAGAATAAGAAAAGAAACAAAACACAAAGATAATTATAATGCAAATGCATACATTTTCAGAGAAAGAGTGGAAGATCCATACAGGTAAATTTTCATATTAAATCTGTATAGAAGTTGAAGTATAGATTCTTATTGTTGTATTTCTGTTGTATTTTTCTTTTAATAAATTGGTTTTTAGTTGGAAACTGCCCAGAGTCATTTGGAAGTCAGGCAGCTACAAATAAGTAAAATAACATAAAATGAAATAAAATAATACAATATTTTTTTATAGGCTGGTACAGAGGATTTGCCTTAAAAAACCCAAATCTCAAGGTAAAGTAACTTTTGTTTCTAAATTAAAATACATGTAAAACCTTGTTGAGGTATTCATATAAAAATGAAAAGTACATAGTTAATTGAAGAGTCATACAAAATGTATGTCAGCTGGGATAATTATTTGATAAGACTCCTTAAACATAAAGGGAAGCTGTAGATCACTATGGGCTATGCCTGATGCAGTAAGAAAACTCTGCATGTGCCTCCCAACTCCATTATTGCAGTACCTAGAACCCCCCAGGACTCTTGTTGGATTTTAGCCATGAATGTTCAGTTCTTGTAGTGCAATTTTTCACATTGTTCACATGTTTTACAAAATAAGACTCGAATAAGGCTATGTGAGGTATAATGTACCTGTTCTGAATAAGCCACACTCCTCCTCAAAGTGGAAAATTTCAGCCTTTTTACCATACGGTTGCTTTGAAGTCTGATTTTATAAAGGTGTGGGCTCCAGTCTCATCTGATATCTAAAAGTCCAGAATCTTTCTGGAATCTTGTTTTGCTCTGAAAGCCTTAAGTTAAAGTGGGGCTGGCGATATATTCCAGAATGGATGCCATAGCACTTGAGACATCATTAAATGGTGCCTGCTCACTTTTAAAATTAAAAATGGGTGAAATAAAATGATAATCAAATCTTACAAGATTTCACATATGGAGAGACAAATCCACTAAATAAATGATAGGGAGAATGTGGAAATGAAGCAACCTTTTTCTCTAGCTGTAACTCCAACCATACGGTAACAGTATAATACAGTTCAGTATTGAGTGAGGGGATGTGGCATTAGCCGTTGCAGATGCTGTCTCTAGGGAGCTAGGGAAAAAGGGATGAAATATGCAAAGCGTCGGGAGTAAGAAAAAAGTAGCTTATTGTAGGAAATAGTTGCAAGGTATTTGGGAAAGGAGATTATACATGGCTGCGAGAAGGCTTTCAGAGCAAAACAAGATTCCAGAAAGATTCTGGACTTTTTTCAGCTTCATGAGCAGTGCTTAAGCTGCAAATGAGAACTTCTGTTCTGGGGTACTTAAGCGTTGGTGTTGCTTCAAAGCTAAACTTGAAAATTTGATCACACTCTCAGACATCATTTGTTCCTCCCCTACAATTACTTTGTAAAACAAATGTATAATTGCTTTCAAAATGTTGTTTATCCAGGCATTTTTCATATCTCTTGAATTGTCTGAATACATGAAGATACACAGTGTTTGCTGTGTAGAAATTATTGATTTTTTAAAAAAATATACGTGCTTAAATTACTGTTGATGGTTTATTGTATTTATTGAACTTCTTTCTTTCAGGGTATCTTCCCATCCAGCTTTATTCACTTGAAAAATGCATGTGTTAAGAACAAAGGGTAGGTAGAAATTCTGAAGCCCTAGATTATAGCCCAAGATAAGGGAAAAGGTTTGGGTTCTTCTATTATTCCTGATGGAGAGGAATTATATTTAATGTGAGATAAATAATTAAGTTTATGGGGAATAATTTATCTGTATTTAATTAAATTACTTCATTATACTTAAGTCAATCTTTTTTTTTAACCTGACCCCATTACTTTTTTGAGCATCCCATTTGTAGGGTTCTGGGCCCTAAGTGGTTGCATACCATTGATGTACTGAGTGCAGTGAGTACTTTTTCCTTAGTTGTTATGTAAGAGCCTCTTCAAGACATTCTTAAATATTTGTTGATGACTCCATTAATTGGCAACTTGAAGGAAATTCCATATTAAATTATTCAAGTCAATTTGAATGCTTTGTTTTAATTGAATAGAAATGATGTTCCCTTGGATTTTTGTTTGACACCTTGTTCTTCTATTTTAACAGGCAGTTTGAAATTATTGTTCCAACAGAAGATTCTGTTATCACAGAGATGACATCCACCTTAAGAGACTGGGGGACAATGTGGAAACAGCTTTATGTGGTAAATAGATTATATTATTTTTCTATAGACAGTATGCTGTATTGGTGAATACTGCTTTTCGACAATATGTTCACAGTACTTCATAACAGAATATGGCACAGAAGAAAACAATGTAATCTTATCTGGGTTGAAGAAGAAACATATGCAATATATAATATCCACAGAATGCATAACAATGGCAAAGGGCAAGCATTATAAGATCTTTTAAAGAGCTTCAAAATGTAGCAAAATAAGTTTCAGATTCAAGGGCTGGAAGAAAAGGCTGAAATGACCTTGGCATAGATGGTGATCAATAACTATCATTCAATATCAGAGCTTTCTCCATGATTCTTAGGGGACTCAACTTAAAAAAAATCAATTTTTTAAAAAATAAATTTGTTTCAGAAAAGATTATGTCTTGTCTAGGAATTTTTAGGGTGAGGTATATTCAAGATAAATTTCTTTGAGATATAACTAAAACATTTAATCAAGTGTTAAATACTTGTGATGTGGAGTTAGTTTACTGCTTTTCTTACTTCAGTGGTAACATTGGGGAGGATACACAGCTCCATTCTATTTCACCCATTCCTTTAAAATGTGGCAGGAGCCAATAAATGAATAAATTGTAACCTTCTATTAGAATGTTGTTTTCATCAACAAGGGTGTTTTGATCACCCTCCTTCCTTGGAGTTTCTAAATCTAGCCCTTAATCCAAAGATAGACAGAAATTTAAGTACATACAAGCTTACAGGCACACATACATTACTTAAAGTAGATTTTTGCATTTATCTCCTGACCAAACAAATTTCCAGATTGTTCATTAAAAGTACTCTATCTTTAGAAAGCAGTTCACAAGGTGAGTTATGAATGTTCCTGTAGGTAGTTGCTGGTAGTAACCTGGTGTTGGGAGATTGTCAGTGACCTGATGGTGGGATGAGAGAGGTAAGGAGGACTCCTGGATTGACCTCTGATTTCTATAACAATTAGTGGTTGCAGTGAAAGCAGACTACAGTTTTTGGGGGAATATCATGTATATTCCTAGTCCAGAAAGCAGAACTGAGAATGCCACCATAATGATCACCATCCATATGTGAATAATACACATGAATTTTGATCAATATTTTATGTGATAGTGTGATAACCATTTCTTCCACTGATTTGGATTATTAGAGACATTTTGATGTTGCCAGTGCCTGAAAAAGATTATATGCAGCAGAAGACGAGGTCATGACTTTAGATCAAACCTTTAATATGCCACCATTTGTGTGACATTACGGATGACACTTCTTTCTGTGCAAAATGGTACAATAGTTATCTCAAAGATACAGGCTGCATGTGGGCTGTGCCCGGGAGACTGTATTTTGGTATCTGTCTTAAGACTGAGATTGAATTGCTACAATCACAATAATCTGCCTACATCTCTTGACTGCTATTAAACTAGAAATAATACTAGATTTTTATCAAAGTGTTCTCAGTCAAGAGGTTATAATTTAGAACTGTCTCACCTTTGAGCAGATGCTAGACATCTGAACACAGTAATGAACCTGAGGTACTAATACATTTATCCACTTTTTGAAAGTTGTAATGCTTAAAATACTTGCCATCCCCTATAGTAATTTGATCTGTCCAGAAGTAAATGAATGAGAGGGTTAGTCTTTAAGGTAGTGAGGAAGAAAGGGGGGGGGGAGGGCCTTACTTGTGGAATAGCCTGCCTTTTGTTTGCATAAGAATAAGAATAAACTAATTATGAAAGCAAACTAAACTTCCATAAATTTATATTTCATATATCAAAGAAGGAATTTAAAAAAACCCTTTAACTTAGTTTGAATATTTCCATCTTAACAAGCATGTTTTCCCTTTTTCCTGGCTTACGCTTCTTATGTTCTGGAACAGCAACAGATTTGAATAAGCTACATGATTTTGATAATCTGAGAACCAGCTTTTGTATCTGACAGAGAAATGAAGGTGATCTGTTTCACCGACTGTGGCACATAATGAATGAAATTCTAGATTTGCGACGGCAGGTGCTCGTGGGCCATCTGACCCATGATCGGATGAAGGATGTCAAAAGACACATTACTGCTCGCTTGGACTGGGGCAATGAGTGAGTAAGAGTCAATTGATAAAACTGTTTACATTGGTTGTCATTCATTGCTATTCTAGTGCTTATGGCAAGATAACAAAAAGGTAGCTGATTTTGCTGAGTGGTGGTACCTTGCTCTAAGTGGGCTATGACATCGTGAATATGCAGCTTTTCTGTAAGAAGGTTTAAAAAACCTTTATTGATGTCCTTAGACTGTTTAAACTCAATAAACAGACTATTTCTTGTTTAAGTGGAAGACAATTCTTTACTTGCCAAAGGGGCAGTTCCAGTACTCTGTCCTCTATTTCAGACAATTTTATAGGAGCTCAGAAGAGGTTTGTCTTGAATTGTGAAGGCTGCAGGGAAAAGCAAATGATAAGGAAAGCCCTGTGGTTCTTCGAATACTGCTAATTGCCTGCATTGATAGCCTTCTTTGTCCAGGAACATAGGATGGCACTGTGCTATGGCTTGAATGTTCCAGTCAGGTAGTAGGAACTGAACGTGTAGATCTTTCCCACCATATTGATACCATACCAGGAAATGCCAAAAGATTATCATGTCTGCTCTATAAAACAGTAGAGAGGTTTGCATACATTCCCAGTAGTATGGATTGTGCCAAGGGCAAAATGCTCCTTAGATGACAATGGACAAAGGTATGGAGAAATACTCTGTCAGAGCTGCCTCAAAGACTTGCTATTTAATTTTCAGAAATAAATAGCATTAGTGCTTCACTTTGACTTTGTTGCCTTTGGCTGACATGGCATCAAGATTTGATTTGTTCTACTAAAACTGAGTCAGATCAGTTTCTATTTGGACAGAGTCAAGAATATGGACAAAGTAGGAAAAATACCCACTGGCTTAAAGCATTCAAGAAATCTGTGTCTTTGCTGTTATCTGAACATTTGCTTGAAAGCCCTGAGTAAATAAAAACAACTGTTGGAATTTTTATGACGGACAGGTATTTCTTCATGAGTTTGTGCCATATCAAAGTCTTTTACTTTGCTTATTGCTAAATACCATAATGCTGTTAAATGTTTTGGAAAGTGAAGAATCCATAGAACAGTGTTCTGTTGAATATATTTTGAATGCTGCCAGGCATAGCTCCTGCTGATCTTCATACTACTTTGCTGAGCTTGAAAGACTAACAAGCACATCTCTAGAATAGAATAGAATAGAGATGTAGCTTGTCGGAAAGAATAGTGGGTTTCTCATAGTTGGTAGTGTTTGGAAAAACAGCTGACTATAAAACATTTTGCTACTTTCATTCCCTTTTAAGAGCTACATTCCAGCAGTAAGTTGATGGGATATACAGCTGTTCTGGCTCATTCTTCAAAAATGCCAAGTATATTAGGACCTTGTTTTATGTTTCCTTGACATGTTTCCTGGCAGATAAATAGGCAGACTTTAGAAAATGAACCAGGTCATATGGATAAATCTCTACTTCAGAAGCATGCATTCCAGAAGTATGTTTACCACTGACTCTTCCAAGAATTTTTTTTTTTTAATTTCACAGTCTAGCCCACAGTCCTGTGATTTTCTGATGGTCTTGCATCTAAGGTTCAATCCTCTTTAGCTATTTGAGGTCATCCAAGGTCAGCTAGCTAGAAAAAAAGGGAAACAAAACAGCTATGCACACACACACAAATGAAAACAGCTAGGATGTGCCTGACTTTTGAGATGTGACACTAATGTGGAAGAAGATGCAGTTGCTCCCATATGTTGCAAATCAGTGTTTTTTGAAGCTTTTGCACAGCCCTTCTGAATATTAGAAACTGACGAGGGTGAGGACTTTAGTTGACAGCAGCTCTTTCTCTATTTAATTCTGGACTTTTATATTGATTTCAGGATAAAAACATAGCCTTTCTATTTTGCTTTCCTAAGCTCCTCTTTTCCTGGACTGTGTTGTCAACAATGTGAGTTATTTGCTATTAATCCCTTACTGCTGTCTTAGCACATACTTTTTTTTAAGTTAGATAGTAGGTAGAGAGTGAATAAAGAATAGAATCATGCAATAGAAATGGCAGAAATATGAGTTCTATTAATACTGTTTTTCTGATGATCTGTAATTTGCAGTAATCATGGAGCAAAAGGTACATTGCACACTTTTCCTGTTAAGTACGCAGGGATAATGGTAACAATAATGACAGATTGCTTCAGATTTGAACTCTATGTGTTTTCTGTAGATTTTAACTAAGGATTTTAAATTGTTCTTCTAACTAGAATTTCTGTATTTGTTTGCAGACAGCTAGGGTTAGATTTGGTTCCAAGAAAGGAATATGCAATGGTGGATCCAGAGGAAATCAGTATTACAGAGTTGTACAGATTGGTAAGCGAATAGCTCACTTAACCCCAATTCTGTTAAGTTGGTTGAAATTTTCACCTTTGCTTAGAGCACAAGGGTAGTCATTGCAGTTGCGCCTCAGTCAGCAAATTGGGATGGGGCATTTGGCACATGTTCTGTCCTCTCCCTCTTTGTGTCTCTTATTATAGATACGTTCTAGAGGGCTTTTTAAATTTATCCAATTTATTTCCTGCCCAATCCAATGACTTTGGAGTTACTCTGACCACAGCTTGGAAATACAAGCAAAGGAAATAGACCAAGAATGTGCACGAATTCTGAGTGCATGTGACAAATTCTCCTGCCCATGGGATGGATGATTCTGTGTTGCAAGGGCACCTAGTAAGGATTTTGAAGCCTTGGATTATAGCAGTAACATATAGCCACTTTTAATCCCTGTATTTCTGCTGTTCATGTTGAAAATGTTTGATTTTTTCAGATTTCTAAGATTATTGTGAAATTTGTGCAGAGAAATGTTCTCTCATGATTTGATCTTTGCAGGCTATTGTATGGTCTAATTGGATAGACTTGCTATACAGCAGAAAAGCACATACACGGTCCAGCCATTGTTAGAAAATCTTGAATCACTTAAAAAAATAATAGGTATCCAATATTTCAATATTCTAGCACCGAGCAGAAGAACAAGCCTTCAGTGTTCTACTGGTGTAATAAAATATCTGTAAAGAGGAAGAAAATCATTAGTAAACATGCATTGCACTTAATAAAAATAGGAGAAGAAACGATATGGCACTGAACTGCTATCCAGAATGGAGTGAGGTCACTGACGTTTTAAAATAAGTTTTTAAAAAGATCCTCCTTAATAAATCCCTAATTTCTTTGTTCTTGACTACAACCCTATCATTTCCAAACAGTTTCTGACCCCTTTAGGGAAAGACCTGCAATAAAGTTACTGTTGTTGTTTTTATTTACATGAAACAATGTTGAAATTTAAATTTTAGTGTAATGTTTAGAATATCTAGTAAAGATCAAAAAGTTCCAGGTGCAAATGTCCATTCAGTTGTGAAGCTCATCTGTTTGCTATGGGTTTTTTTCTCTATTAACTAATTTACAAGATTGCCATGCAGAAAGAAAAGCATTTAAGCTACCGTGAGGTCTCTGAGAAAAGGTGGTATAAAAATGTAATTAATATAAGATATGAAAAAAGTGACCTTTGTGTTTATCTGAAATAATGATTGGCTACTGAATCTAGGAACAAGATCTTTTCCAGTATTGCCTCACAAGAAAACAGATGAACCCCTTCAAATGTTTGATTTAAGCAATCACAAGTGGTTGACAAAAATAAAGTGATGAGCAAGTAAATGCCTCTCTATATGTTTACATGTCATGAACTAAAACAAATGTAAGCTGGTCTCATCTTTGTGTGGTGCTCTATATTTAGATGGAGCATCGTCATCGCAAGAAAGACACACCAGTCCCAGCAAGTAGTCACCACCTCTTTGTGCAGATGAAGAGTTTGATGTGTTCCAATCTGGGAGAAGAACTGGAAGTTATCTTCTCACTTTTTGATAGTAAAGAGAATCGACCAATCAGGTAGTGCTGCCTTTTTCATGAAGAATGCAGAAATGTACAGCCTCATCAGTTCTTACTTTTACTTGAATGACAAAGTCATTCTGACCTTTTTAGCATTGAATCTTAGGAAGTCCTTATATTAGTCCCACATATATTTTGTTGTTATTGTTGAATGCTTTGATTCTGGCTCTGGGCCATTGGACATGTGGGTTCAACTGATATGTGGATATAGAAAATACATATTCACCAAACTGGAAAGCACTAAAGTGTTAACTAATGGAGGCATTTGGTAAAGAGAGGGATGTTCACATAGTGTGTTAAACCATAATGTATTTTGCTTGGTTTTGATTTAGAATGAGCACAACCATTGTGGTTTATAATAGACTATGGTTATGGTTATGGTCTAGGATCCTAATAATGATGGATTGTTCAATAAACAGTGGTTAAAACTAACAATGGCTTAGCATGATGTGTGAACTTATCTGTATTGTGGCTAGAGAAACCTGTTACAATGGTACATTTCCCTTTAGCTTACTTAGTTTCTGCAGAATAAGCTGTAAATAAAATGGTTGCGGAGCTTATGATCTGATTAAATATTGCCAATGATGTCACTGACAATAATACACCATTTTTTCCTCCTACATTCACATGACTTTTTTCCATTTTGACTCATATGTTTTTGATTATTTTCTAGGAAGAGTATCATGTTCCTTTAAAAAATTAATGGATGGTAAGGAAATAAAGTAGAGGAGCAATTTTGAATGGTGTCATACTTTTTCCATTTTTTAATGATCTATTTTTTAGTATGTGATCAGTTCTCCTCAGCAATTGAACACATCTCCCCATGTTGAGATTCTTTCTTTTCATGCCAAGCAAAATTAGCTATCCTGTGGTGGCCTCCTCTCTTCCTCAAAACAAATTAACCTTGTTGAAGTGAACCAGAGTTCCTTGAAATGCTACACAGCTAGATATGGCTGCATAATGTGGTTTGGGAAAAATGAGTTGCAGTTTTTGAACTTAAACCCTGGAATAATAGCAACCATGAGGATGACTGTGGCTAATCAGAAGCCATACATGGAATGCTATTGCTGTGTTATATACATTTGGCTATATGCCATCACCAAAGGCAGGTTAAGTTAATTTATGGTAAGAACAAATCAAACCAATAAACATGGATCCTAGAAAACATATTGTAAGATGCAGTCACACAAAGTACTAGGCCGGGTTAATGCTGCACCTTGACAGTCTTCCTTCTTTTTAGCTGCTGTATCTGCCCTTTTATAGTGTCTAGATGGACAGTAGCAACACTTATAAGGCTCACATGGCTACTTAGAAAGCTATCTCTGTATGTGTGTGCATGGACAGCCACTTTGCTCCTTTCCCTGGAAAAAGGCACACCTGCTTTATTGATTAAAGCAAAGGTACTAGATAGATCAAGGAAGCCATGGTTCCCCTTTATTCTGCATTGGCCAAATGACAGGAAAAATATTGCGTCCAGTTCTGGGTGTTGCAGTTTGAGAGGGATGTTGACAAACGAGCATACCCAGAGAAGAGCAACCAAGATGATAAAGGTCTTGGAAAGAAAAATTTAAGAGGAACGGTAAGAACTCTTCAACAGTGGCACAGAGGTGATAGATTCTCCTTCCCTGGAGATGTTTAAACAGAGGCAGGATGTTCATCTGTAGAGATGCTGTAGTAGTAGATTCCTGTACTGGACAGGGAGTTGGAATAGGTGATCTCCTAAATTCCCTTCCAACCTTTACATTCTATGATTGATTTGAATGCTTTGCATGGTCTTATTTGATACTGCAAAACTCCTTTTAAATGTCTGTTTTATTTACTGCCACATTACAATTTTTCACAGAGGTATAAAACAGTTATTAACTTTGCATCACATGTAATGAAAATAAGAGAAAAGATGCAGATTATTTGCTGCGTGATGCACGGGTTATCTCTTAATGGAGGGGCTCCACAATGCATTCCTGTCTTTCCTTCCCAGGCATTAAAAGCCATTGGTAGGAGTTTAAGCAGCATTACAACCACTACCTACTGAACATCTTGTTTACCAGATCTGTTTATGATTGATATATATTTATGTGATTTGGGGAAAAGGAGAATAAATCCACATCTTGTTCCCTGTGATAGCCCTTCAGATACAGGGAGACTGCTGTCATCTCTCCCCTCAGCCTTCTCTTCTTTAGGCTAAACATATGCAGCTCTTTTAACTTTTCTATATAGGATTTAGCCTCCAAGCCCCTCACCATCTTTGTTGCTCTTTTCTGCAGTCTTTCCAGTTCCTCAGTATCCCTTTTGTATTGTGGTAACCAAAACTGGACACAATATACAGGTGTGGTCTGACTAGTGTCATGTAGGATGGAATGATCACTTCTCACGATCTCAATATTATACATCTGTTGATGCAGCCCAAGATTGCATTCCCTCTTTTAGCAGTACAGCACTCTGCTGGCTCATGCTTAATTTTGGTGCTTATATCTTTCACACTAGTACCACTGCTGAGCCAGGTACTGCCTGTCTTCTATGATTTTTCCTACCTAAATGCAGAACCCTACATTTCTTGCCACTGAACTGCATTTTGTTGGAAAAGCTCCAATGTTCAAGCCTATCAAGAGTTTTTTGAACCTTTGTCCAGTCTTCTGAAGTGTTATCAATCCCCCCAGCTTGTGTTATCTGTAAATTTGCTATTCAAGCAAAAGCTCCTCCAGATATCAGTACACCTATCACCTAACAAGGATAATGCAAAAATAGTTCTCTGAGGGCCATACCTAGTCATTTATAAACATATTGAAAAGCACTGGATCTGGGAGAGAACCCTGAATACCCCACCACATCTCTCTCCATGTAGACATAGATCATTAAGGACCTTGCACTGGGTTTTTTGTTCCATCCCACACTGTTCCATTTTATCAAGAAGGTGGCTATGGTCAACTTTATCAAATGGTAGATGATGAAGGAAAAGAGGCTGTTAGTGAAGGAAAATGTGTATAAGAGAAGGATTATTGCAACAAATAAAGATGAGAAAAAAGATGGGAAAACAGATGGAGACATGCAAATTTTGGTAGGAACATAGTGGGTATCATGTAGTCTCTTGCAAGGAGTGACAGTTTATTAAAAGAAACAAAAGTGGTTGTGCATAAGAGCATATTTAAGCCCACTTTATTAAATGAGATTGGGAATGTTTGGAAAAAACATAAAAACAAATCGAATGTAGTGGGAATGACCACTTAAGAAACAGTTGTCATAAAACAAGACTGAATGAATATGAATATGTAATAAATGAATGTGGATTTAATACAAAAATGAACAACCAATACAAAATAGATACATTGACATAGTTTGCTCATATAGAGGCAGTGAATAAGTACTGAATTGCTGAAGAAATATATAAAGGAAGAATGAATTGGGAGGGGAAAGGCAGAGAAATTCATGGTTGGGTAGGATTGGTGAGATCCTCAAAGAGAAATGAAAAGTTTAAAGAATAAAAGGTGATGTATGAAGCATTTTACAGACAGAGAGGAAGTAAATATCATTTGCAAGAATAGAATGGTATGGAAAGACATAATGGTTAATGTAGGTGTAAACTAGATTTAGTTACATTCTCCTTTCTCTTATTTACCACTTTGCCCACTACTTCTCACTGTTTTTCCATGCTTTGTTTATCCTTGAAAGGATTAGCAAGATTGGTACATATGTATGTTCATGTTGTAAGACAAAGTATCCCGAGTTTATCTTTTCAAATTACAATGAGGACATAATTATATGAAAAATAGTGAAAGGATTTATGTGCTCTTACATTTCATGATTATAGAATCTTCAAATCGATTCAGTAAAGTACAGCAATCTTTGTTCTTTTCTACAAAAGAACTGAAGGATCCATGGTCATAAAAACATCTTGTCTGTTAACCTTCTGGTGTGACAAATAAAGTTCTTTTGAACTGAATATTTTTTGTTCTCAATTGGCTTGTGGGCAGATGACATTATCTATGATTTTGTATTTCATAATGACTAACATTATGAAATACAAATCTATGGATGTTACCTTTAATAAAGTACCATATATAAAAATAAACTGCTCTTTGAACCTGAAGATTTTCACTTTGCTTTATTAACTATCAGTAAAACTATACTGAGGCAGTTTAACCTCAGATTGCCAGAAGGCTCAATTGTAGTTTTTTTCAGATAAGGAAGATGCTTTAATCAAAGCACTATTGATCTTTTTAAATCCAATCTTGAACACATTCCTCTTATCTGTGAATTTTCAGAATTCCCATAGGAATCAAAGTCAAAATGACATCACCATGGGCAAGAACTAAAGTCATTGATTGTGGCATGGTTCGGTGTTAGAATTATCATATCCATGGCACTTCTTAACATTCAGCATAGTGTAATCATTTTAGTGTGTTCGCACTCATAGCACTTCCAAGTAATATATTCTCTCTCTCTCCTCCTCACCAAAAAAAAAAAAAAAAAAAGACTGAGTCAGGGTTAGTTTCTGTGTTGATCATTGAAATAGAAAACATAATTCCAGATCTTTAGGGCACAAAAACTGGTCTTCAGTGGGTTTCTGATTTGAGCACAAAAAGGTGTTTTGGACAGTATGGGGATGCTCACATAATAATTCTCCATAAACATACACAGCTTCTTTGGAGAGTTGCAGACAGGCGCTATGTTCCATCCTGATGCTCCAACGCTTTTGGAATCAAATCCAAAGTGTTACATGGTCCTACTATAAATGACTTGTTAATGAGGAAAAATATTGATCAGTAGAATGTAAAGCTAAGATCCAGAGGTTGAAGCTTTCTGTTCAATACATTTTCTTTGATGAGAATTTAGGGCAGGAGAAGGCATGTAGTCTATGGTACATGGAATGAATGCAACTGTCAGAAACTGTGCTGTTGTGGTGCTGGAGCCATCTGCTACTGAAATTTAGTGGCATCTCAAAGCGTGCTACAAATGGAGGGAAACACAACATGGAACTTCCTTTCTTCTCAGTTGGCATACTG